AGGCTTGCTGACACCGCGCCTGACAGCAACCAGGTTTCAACGGCTATCGCTAGATGCTAGGAGGTCGCATTGAGAAGACGACTGCATTCTAGCCACGTCCGAGAGGAATCGACTAGACATGTGCTAGCTGTCCGCTGGCCTCCAGTGTCTATCACCGACAATTGATAGCTGGGGGACGCATGTTCGCCAATTGTGGCGCGCCCCTCCAGCGCATTGCTCAGACTGGGAACATCGTTGCTTTGCAAGCTCTTAAACAAAGCAAATATAGGTCCCGGACATATATACAACCAGCATCGACTCAGGCCGCACGTTCGCAGTCGGTCGTTGATCAGTGAGTCCACTCTCAACCTGGAATCAGGTCATCAGGTTATCGCAGACTGTACTAACCTAGTCCTCCTTGTCCTGTTCGCGTTTCAATCGCAATAGCGCTGACCTGGATTAGTTTTTTTACTCTCCAACACACGTGCTCATTCGTGTCGTTATGGTCTGATTTTCTCGCAACGAGACCTATCGCGCCCACTGCTAACCGCGCTATTCTTACTGCTATGACCAGAAGTTCAGCTGCGCCCACGAATCGTCAAGTCAGGACAAGACATGTACCTTGTCGCTTTCGAAGCAGGCTCTTGTGGATAGCTCATTGAGTCTGCGCCAGCGTCTCGCCTGCCCCGGATTGTTCCCGAGGCGCAGGTGGCAGCGAGTGTGACTTCAGGTGCGCGGGTAGGCGAAAGTCGGCTACGATCAGCACAAGTTGGATGATGTGATGTCTTTGCACATCAACCGCGACGCGCTAAACACACAGCAGGGTCTTGTTGCGTACGGTACGATCACGGCTCAGTCGCAAATACCGCATCGATCCTACTTTTGGAGTGGACACGATGACTGCGATGGTGCTATGTAACATTCTGCAGCATCTGCTCGACCATCACACCGACGCGCAAATGCACAGCGGCGTCACGATAATCCTTCCATGTAGCCTGTATCACGTGTCGATATCAGCCTCGGTTTTCATCGCCCGTTCCGGAACCGAACGGCGTCGCGGTTGGAAAGGAAGAAGCGACTCAACGTCTCCTTGTCGCGAACGCCAACTTGAGTCAGCATGCTCAAAGTCCAGATCCTGTTTCGTCAACGTTGAGAAAGCCGGCATGCCTTCGACCTGGAGAGACACCATGACGATCAAGCCCTCCCGGCGTGCAGTCTATCTAGGATCACCCCCGACATGTTCTATTGACTGATAGTGTACCTTGGCGCTATCCGCGGCGAGATCCACCCTCAGCATCCATTTACTCCTCGTGTTGGGCATTTTCGCAGGTCGGCAAGCTCCATTAGACCTACTTCCACACTGCACAGGTGCGCAAATGGGTGCACATGACGGGGATGATCTACACCGGAAGATGAGGTCCCTGGACGATCCTGGAGATCCGGATCGTACGGATATTTCCTGCTAGCAATGCGCTAAGCGGCTATCTTCCGCGGAGCGCAACGAGTGCGAACATCGTGTGCGGCGAACTCCTCCCCAGGGACCAGAGGGAAAGCTTGTTTCGGGGCTACCTCGGCCAATGTCGAGTCCTCATTTGTCAAGCGTCGTGGAGGGGTCCGGCCCGCGCAGCTGTAGTCCAAAATGTAAGTGCGGACGCCACGTGAACTTGGTTGCACACCCAACCTGCAGTTTTATTCTCCTGAGATTAACTCCAGCGCAGGATTTATTCGCCCCGTTGCAGTAGCATCCGGAGCATTAATCGATGTTTCATCCATGACCCTGCCGGGGCGCTGTAGGCAGATGCTCGAGCGGACAGCACCCACGACTATCGACTCGCCGGACTTGTAACTAAGGACATCGTCTGTTGCACAGTTTCGTGGCATCTGACATTCCCGTAACTCCCGCTGTTGGCTTGATACGACGTTACCTGTCTCGTCGCTTGCACCTCGGCACAACATCCAGGAACATCACTTCACCCATCATGCGTCACAAACGGCGGCGCTGTTTCTTTATCGTGTGGCTTCAAGCACGCCGTCGGTACCCTTAAACATCACGGCTTTCATCCGCCATGGCGTATTGCGATTGGCCAGCTAGCTGCTAGCACATCAATAGATCGTCTAACATTGCCGTAGAACAACGCCACCACACACCGTCAGTTTTCGATTGTGCTGTCAAGTTGGGCCAAGATATGGGCTTGCCAAAGTTGCCCGGAAGGTCATACTGTAACCTCAACTGAGAAAGCACCCTCACCCTGTCAATGACTCGACCATGCCTGAGGGCTGGACTTTCTCTCAGCGGCGCCTGCAACGTCACTGTCTAGTTACCTCATACCTTCTGGACCTACTGGAGGCGACTAGCCATGTGCTACGTTCTCGTGTTCAACAGTTTCACTAACCGGCTGTATCCTTAACTTTGTCGCCCTGATGTTCAGCCTCGTGGTTTTTGAACGAATGAGCTCCGGCGGGGCTATAATCCGAATGTTGAATTAATCCTATTCGCACAATGGACTCTCGATTATCGACGAAATTTCCTGCAGTATGGTACGACTTTGCACCAGCACTGTTTCAGCCCACTGCCAGTTGGTAGCCGCATTGAATTGCATGCTCCACTGTCTCTAACGTCGAACCAGACTCGTGTGCTGCAAGTGCAATACATTGCGGAATGACGTGCGTTAGAAACCTTCCTGGCGCAGACCTTCGTGTAGCAGGATAGACGAATCCACTCAACAAGATCGGAGACATCTGCCAAACCCGGCGAATTTTCGAGACAGACATCAAGTCCGCATTCGTACGTACAAGCGCGGCAAGATCACGCACTTGAGCTGTCAGCTTTTCACTACTGTACTATGACCGTTGCTTCACTACTGCTCCGCCGTTGAAGATGTCGGCCTAGACTAGGTAGCCCAGGAACATGCCCTTCTGACGAAGTTTGTTCAGCCACCAGTCCACAGCCCCTCCAAAAAAGTGAGCTCGTCACAGACGTTCGCTCACGCCCGCACCGCAAACGCAAGGGCAACGCTGTTTCACCAGGCGGGCCACTCCGTATTCAAAAATCCTTCAGGGCGTCTAGACACGGATCCGCGAGGTCTTCCCGACTACCTCTACTCCAAGGCCCTTATGCGGTTGACGTTGTGCGCGCGGATCAAGAGACAGCCTTAGCGGGTCTTTCCGCCCTGGATGCTCATCACGGTCTCACCACGTTCATCCGTGTATTTCTTCATGTTGGTTTGGACTAACTAGGAAACTTGGTTGTTTCAGACATCTTTGCCACGTGGGATGAAGGTGGAAATTGCGGGGAGCTGGGTCGGACAGAGCGAAACTGACTCATTCAGCAATGACATCCACACACTTCCAGCGGAGCAGTTGGCCGATGACGATGGTAGTCTGCTACCGATCATTTTCGGCTTGGCGGACGACGAAGAACATCCGATTCGGACGACTGTCGTGCGGTACTAAGCTACAACGCCACCACGAATCTCGATGACAGCCCTAGAATCTAGGCACGCTACATCGTATTATGCAACACCAAGCTGCACCGCTCACGATGTGTCGATATGGGGAAACATCCGCGAGCTGCACGGCAATACCCTCTCGCATATACACACCAATCAGGAAGCTGCTAGCAATCTTATCTCCACGAAGCTCTATTCTGACCTCTCGATCGCTGCAAGGGGTCTGGTCCGGTAGGTTTGATCGAAGCCGAAAGTTTGACCACTGCAGGCATTGCATGATCGAACACTTCGGTGCGGACCGTTTGTCTGGACAGGACATCCGCAAGTTACGTGTCAACCTTACCACCCACCATGCTGCACAGCTCGCAATCCTGCAGGTAATTAAAGTCTTTAATGATGCCATGATGATCACTACGCAACATTTAGCGGCGCCGTTGGTCTGCTCTTTGAAACAACTCCGATGCTGCAAGATGTGCAGGAGCGATCTGGGCACCTAGATGAGAGAGCTGGATATCGATACCCTGCGCGTGCGTCTTCCCCAACGAAACGCTTGCAGAAATGATTGGGCACCAGTGCGACATACCATCAGATACCCCATTGCCTCTTGGAGTAATGCCGGGACATCCTCATCTCCCATTCCAAGCTTGTGGATGCCCCAATGTGGTCGAGCAAACAACGAGCATCCTTACATATCATGCCCAACAACGCCCAACAGGGCCAGCACGTTGGAACTTGTTGAGAAGAGTCACAAAACCGGTTGCAGTCGTGAGGGGTGGCACCCGCACTGGTTGTTTAGGGCTGACTGTGTAGCACTCGTTTCGTTCATGATCAGCAGATAAACGGTTGCTGATCTCGCCGAGAGAAGGACCGAAGAAGCCGTTGGATTGACATGGGGAGGCTTCGCGCCGTCCACGGTTTTTTGGCTTATCTCGGGGGATCTGTGACTGGGGTTTTGCAAGATTGTCTCTGGTCGCGATCTCTGCGGTGTTACTTTTTGGGGTAATGGCGCTGTTGGAGCTCGCACATAGCACGCAATCGGGATGTTGTGGTCAGTCGGTCAATACAGGGGATGTGGCAATCAATAGTGATGCTGAATGCGGGTGCATGGAGCAGTGCTTGAGCCGCGTCGTTCTTGCTGGGTTGAGCGGCTCCAGCTGCACTGAATGGCTGACGAACCCCGCAAGGGAATGCGCGTTCGCTCTTGCAGGCGCTGGACGCGCACTGCAACGTCTCCCAGGAAGCTGCCTTCGCAATGTGGCATCCATTTGCCCGCGATAGCGTAGTCCCTTTGGGAGTTCCGTTCCTCTGGAGCCTCATTCTTTTTCGAACCGCTCTCCTCCGTTGGCATGCTAACTGCCGTGTTCGCCCAAAGTCTGACATAAGATCAATGTGAGCCTGATCAGTGCACGTGGGAGGCAATCGCCCCTTTTCTCATCCCTTTCACAGTGCAGTGCGAGGTTGGGTACTTGTAGCTGCAAGAGACGTAATGTAGGTGTAGTGATAGTGGATAAACGGCAAGTAACGAGTGTTGTTAAAAATACACATTGCCACCCAGCACCATGAACGTGGGTACTACCATGGCGAAGGCACATTCGAGCCTTCGCCCAAGACGTTGCTTGAAGCGATGGATGAACTTTCTGGCCTCCCTAGCATTCTGCCATGTGCTTCCAGGAGCTTCTCATGACAGAAGCCGATGATCTTTTGTCGAAACTCGGGATTGTAATGTGTGCACAACTCATAGTGATCGCAATCAGCCACCATCATCTGTTCGTTTGGCAAGCCAATCTTGGCTAGTTCGTAGGTAACAATCTATAGCATTTGTTAGGGTCGTACATGGCGAATAGCAGTAGTTCGTGGTGGGATGTATAATCTGTGAATGACATACCACGTATTTCCCTGGTCTCCATCTACGCCCAAGCAACTTCGTCTCTTCCACGCGCATTGCTTTGCTCTCTCGACCATCCCAGATTGACAAGATGGGAAAGTTCGGAAGGGACTCGCGGATGTACTTCTCGAATTCGTTGGAGAGTGAGCACACATATCTGGTTTGGAGTTCCAGGTCCATGAGCTTCCTGTCGATGGTTTTTGACCTTCTGGATGTAGGCGGTCTTGTAATGATACCCAGCATATTCTCATGATCTGCCTTGTTCTCGTCCGTAGGATGGGGTGTTCCAAGAAAGACGATTCCGACTGTATTGTTGACGAGATCCTTATGCCACTGGGCCGGGAAGCTTCGGAGCTCAAGGCTACTAGACTTCCAGAAGAACTGGTCTTCGTCAGCTTTGTCCCTTCTTGTTCTGTGGTTCAATAGACTCACGTCTTTTATGAAGATACCTCCAACACCGTGGCCCAGAAAGATCATGGGCAAGGACATCGTCTACGTCTTTCATTAGATAGGTAGCTGGCTTGGGTAGTATGGCTACTTACATTAGTCCGCTCGCGATATTCATGGAGCTGCTGCATCATCGTGTGTGAACTATCCCTGACTTGGTTCCAGCGGTTGAAGTCTTTTCCATTGACTGGTAAGCCGTGTTCGAGGGCAAGGACTTGTATGTTCATGTAGTGCTTGGTGAGGTCGCGCACAAGTGGCTCATCGTGGAAGCCGTCTCTACTCCAGATCTCGGCAGGAGGATCACCCAAGCCTGGTACGATAATGACACTATACTGGTGTCAACGCAAATTTACTCTCATCAGATGGTACACTTACTATGCATCGGGCTCCAGCGTATGCATAAGGTCGCTTGGTAGTTCGAGAGGCCTGATCGTGCAGCCTTTCTCACGAACGATGGAAGAATCTTTTGACCACGCCGGACTCATGGGGCTTGCACTGGCACTGTCTAAAGACAGCTGAGAGAATGGCATCGCCCTAGTCCAATGGCCGCTGGGCGCCCTTGGGGAGGTGTCTGATGTTGACTGTGATGGTGATGCCTCTGATAGGGTTGTGCCAGGAGAAAGAGTAAAGTCATCGACGGTTATCGGCCTATCAAAATATTCTTCAGTCTCTTGTAGAGACTCTGTACTGCCCAGATCGGAGCACAGTGTTACTGATCTCGGCCCATATGGTGGTGTCGCGCTGCCGGACCGGCGCTCTTCTTCCGAACTTCTGGGACTTTTCACACTTTCCACTCTCCCTGAGAGCGTTGAGCTATTGGCTTGGTTCAAAGTTGAGCCATCCAGTGATTCGTGAGACACTGAAGCCTGCTTCTGTACCGTATGATCAGTCGGTAGGTCAAAGGTAGATGAGTCATTGGCAGATGGTGATGGTTGTTCTACTAGGGTCGTAAGACCAAGAGCATTTCCGTGTGACTCTAGATCTACAGCATCGGCACCGCGTCGTGAAGATGTGGGAAATCGTTCTTTGGCTGCAGTTCTGACAGAGTCGAGGGCTTTGAACACTATAGTAGACCTTTCCGCATCGCTCCAGGCCAGGGATGCCGCAGATGCGACAGTAGATGCTGTCTGCTGCGCCATGTTACGGAGAAAGTTAGTCGCGTTCTTGCCTTGTTCGTGTAGTGTAGAAGCCGGTCTATGCGATGTCAGCATGTTGGTTCTCTAAAACGAAAGAACGCCTGATCTCTTACCTCAGCGATTCAATCGAGTCTCTTTGAGTAGCCTCTTGTGCTTTAAGCCAGGGATCTTGGAGAGCTTCGGATGCTGTGGGACGGTTCTCAGGAATGACTTGCAAAAGTCTCTCCAGTAAGTCGCATCCTTTCCGTGAGATACTTTGCGCTTGCAGCACTTGATAAGGGAAAGGCGTTTTCCCCTCGACGTAGGACCCCAGATCTTTTGCGAAAGGCTCGCTGCCAGTGAGAGCCTGGAAAACTAGTGCACCCAAAGCCCATATATCTACTGCATCCGTGTATGATTTGCGTCCAGCGAGGATCTTCCAATTAACGTGACCTTTTCTCATGATGACTTCGGGTGCCATGAAGCCATCTGTACCAGTATATGTACTGAGTGAAGCCGCGTCCTGCATACGCTTGCTGACCCCAAAATCGCCAAGCTTGACCCACCAGTTAGGGCTGCGCTCTTTGATCAGAACATTTTGTGGCTTCAGATCACGATGAACGAAGCCGTGGTCGTGCATACTCTTCAATCCGTCTAATATCTGATGAGCAACGGATTGGGCTTCATGCTCTAGTAGTGGGCCAAACTCGTCAAAATGGCGGCTTAGATCGCCGTGGGGAAGATATTCCATCGAGATGTATACGTGTTTGTCATCTTCGTACCATCCAAGCGACTTGACGAACGAATAGTTGAACTGTATTCATGGGCATGTCAGCCCTCCATGACCTGATGGGCGGTGGCTTGAAACCGAATGGGAATTACTCACCTTGTCCTGAGAGAATTTCGCTATCGCATCCAGCTCATGACTGTAGTCGACTGCAGACCTCTTCTCAATTTGCTTGACGGCTCGTTTGTCTGTGTCTTTGTCGCCGCCTCCTACCAGCTTTTGCAGCCAAACAGTCCCGAACGATCCCCGACCAAGTTCTTTGGACTGCTCCCACTTCTGCTTCTTTTTATTCTTTCCGAGAAGAGGAGTCGTATCCGGCGTCCGAACATGATGGATCGTGAAACCTTTCTTGAAGATTGTGTCCAGTTTGGAATCGGCCACTAACTCCGGCACTATCTCCATAACTCCGATGTTCATGGAAAGTGGGGCAGTCAAAGGGGAAGTAGCGAAGGCCTTGGAAGAACTAGACACAACACACAACACAAGACAAAACCGGTATACGAGTAGCGCTGGAGCAATGCTGCGTGCGAGAGGTGAGAGGGGTGTGATGTATTTCGGAAGCAGCAGCAGCGTCATGATCCAACCCCCAGCCTACCCCGCCGATGTACCCAGGTGGCACGGCAGGCACTGCCTATTCGCCCCCCAACTGCGCATAGGTGGTAGAGATCGACCCTGTAACTGTTCTCGTATGTAAATTAACCAGCCTTGCGCCGTCATACACAGCCTGTTCTGCGTCTATTTGCAGCTTTGTCGGCCCCTCACTCTCAGCCACTGACGATTATCGCTACCCGTTCCGTCTGATCATTGACAATACCCCTCCAATCTAGGCATTCTCTTTGCCCCGTATCCTGCAGTGCATCTGCTGTTACTCGCTTCTTTCTATAACTGTTCTTTGTTGATCGCGACCCTCAAGTCGTCTCACGACAGTCTCGTAAGACTTCGCAATGTCGGTTGAAGTGGCCCTGGCAGTCGTCGCGACTGTTGACCTGGCAATAAAGTGAGTGTCTCGCTTTCAATGCAACCTCCTACTAAGACTTATCTCAGATATGGCGAACGCCTTGTCGACCTGTACAATAGCTACCGAAATGCCTCGGACGAGATCAAGGAGCGAGTGCTATTGATGAGGAACAGCTGGTTCCGAATACAAACCCAACTCCGATATCTCGAAAGGATCAAGACCATACAGGGTGAAGAGTTCAAGATCATGCAAGATCAGACGCTCAGAGTGCTGCAGATCAAGTTGGAGGCTGCGGTGGGCGAAGTGCAAAACCTTGAGAAGAAGCGAGACACCGCCACCACCACCGCCACCACCAAAACGGCCGGTGCCACGACGAGAGAGACGAAATATCATAATTGGAAGTATCCTTTCGTCAAGAAGAGCCTCGATGCCGCCATAAGCGAACTGCAAAAGTGGCAGCAGGCTTTTGATCCATCCTGGTATCTGGCCCTGATGATGTCTAACCGGCTGATAGACAATCACTTGCAGGATTTTTTCAAGAGCGATTCTGAGCTGCCACCAGTTGATCGCAATGTCATTTTTTCTGCGATAGGAGTTCGCGAATCACTCAAAGCGGAATCAGGCACCGGAGAGAAGAAGAAGGTGTTTCTACCAGACAACGCGACTTCGGGCTTTGTGCGCACGCCAATCTCATACTCAACGGCATCCTTAGGTCAAACACCAGACAAAAGCCAAACCTTCGTTTTAGACTCCGTCCCAAGTCAACAAGGCATCAAGCCCGACATTCAGGTCGCAGACGTACGCGATCTCGCTCGCAAGCTCAATGGAGCAGACGCGCTTTCATTTGGCCTGCTCAGATGCTTTGGTGTCGCCAAAGTATGTAAAGATCGCAGAACGACCACGGCTTACGATTTCGTGTTCTATATCCCGTCATCGGTGCGATCACCACAGAGTCTCCGCAACATATTGATCGAAGCAAAACCCAACGTTAGTCTCAGCACGCGCTTTCGCCTCGCGCTCCAGCTCGCACGATCTGTTACCTTTGTCCACACTTACAAATTCGTGCACAAAGGCATCAGACCCGAAACAATCATAGTCTTCGATGCCGAGAAGTCCGAGTACACGCACTCATTCTTGGTTGGTTTCGAGAAATTCCGCGCTGCGGACGGAAGAACTGTGATGGCCGGTGACGCCGCCTGGGAGAAGGATCTGTACCGCCACCCGGAGCGACAAGGCTTGAGACCAGAAAGCGAATACACGATGCAGCATGACATATACAGCCTCGGTGTGTGCTTGCTGGAGATAGGCATGTGGCGTACGCTCGTCACATACAGCAGCATGAAAGAAGCAAGTCCGTCGCAACTCTTGCCGCCGCCGGGCTATACGGAGAAGAAGGAAGTGACCAAGGCTGCATCGCTCAAGGAAACGCTCGTCGGACTTGCGCAGCGCGAACTACCCAGCTGCATGGGCGACAAATACACGGATATTGTCGTGACCTGTCTGACATGTTTGGACGAAGACAATCCCGAATTTGGCGACAAGACCCAGTTCCAAGATGAAGACGGCATAACTATCGGGGTGCGCTATATCCAAAAGGTTAGCAACATGACTCTCACGAGATTGAAACGGTACTAATAGCTCGGTCAGATCTTACTTGGACTGAGTAATATCTCAGTCTAGATGACCAGGCAACGCGACCTTGCAGTCACGACAAATACGATTCCAATTTACCGGCAATGATTGGAAAGAGAAATACAGGTACATATACTGTAGCGCAGAATAAGAGGAACGTGACCTATATAAGTACTCCTCTCGTTTGAACCCTGCGAGCTGAAGTAGTATCTCGTGTCGAACGCATAGTCTCTTCGGCACTGCCTTCTCTTCACGTGCTTCGCTGTTTGATCACTCAGTAAATCATCACTACCTCCTAGAAGCCTATCGTCGCAGCCGCTACATGGTATTGCAGTGAACAACAAGACGACGAGCCGCACACATGCTTTCCACGATTTGATGTCCTTTCGCAAACTTACTCACTTTGAACACCCTACGCATCTCGTACGACTTCCGCGATTTTCGCAACCTCCACCACTTAAACGCAACATAAACTCTCGAACCAGTCTTGTCGCCATCACAATAAAAACATCAAAACTAGCACCACCACAGCCCACTACAACCCACCACAACATCACACCATCATACACTACATACGACGGACACAGCACCCCAGTCCCAGGTCCAGAGGACTGCTCAGCCAAATCCCGCTTCTGGTCATTCAGTGATACCGCGATGAGCGTTTCCCCACGACGCATCGCATCACATCGCTGCTCGCAAGCATCACTACCGACATCACAACACCATAGACATCACTCATCCCCACACAATACACAAGATAATTAAGCACATCATAAAACACCTTTTGCACATTGTCTCTCACCATGCGGTGCTTTTCTGCCAAACCATGCGCCCATTGGGTATCATTACTCCATACCCAGTCCATGTCCATGCTAATCCACACCATGCCATGCTTGTTTGAAGAAAAAGAACCCAAGAAACGCCCTCGCTATGCATACAAAATCCTTATATGATACACTTCCTCCTCCTCTTCCTCCAAACTCATTCCTCGACTGCGATCTCCGTGATCGCAGTACTCGTGTGACGCGTGGATGCTGTGTGCGACTGCGGTTCAATAGTGCAGCGTGGGCCATGACAGGGGGACAGAAGGATCAGACGACTAATCCGACAATTCAATAGCATCGTCTTCCGTCGCACCTGGTTTGCCGTTCGCACCGGGATCAGCTGCACCGCCGCCGCCTTCATCACTGCCATTCTCGCTACCTTCATCTTCATCTTCGTCTTCGTCCTCGTCTTCCTCATCAAAAGACTCTGCATCCTCATCTTCTTCGATCTCGTCTTCTTCATCAAGATCAGAGTCCTGGTCGTAATCGAGCAGCTCCTCGTCATCGCCGTCGTGCATCTCGGAGTCTGCGTCTTGGTCTTCTGCGTCTCGGTCGTAGTACTCTTCCTGTTGCTCCTGCTCCTGATGTTGCTGGTAGGGTGCAGCCTGGGAAGGAGTGAACTGAGCTTCGGGATAAGATGATGTAGTGCCGAAGTGGTTGTAAGACTGGACGTCCTCTTCGTTGTCGGTCATGATGGCGTGCTCATCCTGAGCATCGACATCGATGACGTGTGCGCCGTTCATTGATGCAAAATCGCTAGTGAACTGGTCTTGCTTGTAGCTCATCGGCTGGGATGAAGTCTGCTCGACGAAGGAAAGCTGCGTGGGTATCGGTGAGGAGATATTCAGTGGCTCTGTGCTGGCGGGCCGGGTGCTGGCAGGTGATTTGCTGAGACCATTTTCGATTCTGTAGGCGCGAACAGCTTCTGCGCCTTGGCCGTAAAGATGGCGTGGTACGAAGCGGCTTGTGCGTTCCCAGTATGCTGGACGGTTCTTGGTGGATGTGCTAGTGCGGAGGATGCTGCCGTACATCGATGTGCCGTATGTGGACTGTCGGCTCTGAGATGCCGAGAGTCCAAGGTTGGGCACGCTGCGACTCCAGTCGTGTTGGACATTTGACGAAGTGGCCGCGGGAGATGCAAGACCCCTAGCCCGTGCGATGAGCTGGCTGGCATTTGCATCGAATGATCCTGATCGATACGACTTGCCTGGGGCGAAAGAAGGAGGCGGCATCTCAGCCCTTGAATCTGCCAGCGTCCGTCGGGCCCTTGCGATGAGATCGTTCGTTGAATCGTTGAATGAAGACCGTCCACTAAACGACATCGCGCCGTTGAAGGAGTGAGACGGTGATGTCGTGGATGTTGACTGCCTAAAGGACTCCTTGATGGCATCAGCACGAGCGCGCTGTTCTTCGAGCATAGTTCTCGGTGCTGACTGCTCATGTTGCTCCGGTGCAGGCGACGCTGGTGACAACTTGGGTCGCTTGGGCTCGATGAGCTTGGGCTTCTCTTCGTCTGATGAACCAAAGTCGAAGCTGCGCTTCCGGTGCTTGCTCGGGTCGATGCCCATAGCGCGCAACCTGAACCAGTCCGTCTCGGTCCGGTCTACTGGTGCATTCGCAACGGCTTGCTGGTATGCCTGGGAGTATGCGGTGATTGATGTGCTGGCGTTGCTTGTGCTCTTGTCAAACGTAGACTCAGGAGATGGGTTGTTGACCGGCACCGATTTGGCAGAGTTCACACCATTCGTCTCCGAGCTCTGAGCCTGGTGTCGCTGTTGCGTTCGCTTGGCGCGCCGAGAATTCGAAGGTTGCTGAGACACCGATCGCCCCTCTGGTGGTACTATTGCTGTCGTCTTACCGTTCGATGTTGTCGGCTGTACCGGTGCAGGCGCGTCTGCCGGTTCTTCGTCTGGTCCGGCCTCCGCCTTTGCCCGCTGCTCTTTCAGTCGCTTCCTCCTCTCTCGTGCCTTCTGCAATTTCTTCTTCTTTTGCACCGCCAACAT